CATGAAACCTAATACTCATTAGTCATAATACATTTTTAATTGATCACTTTAATTGATTAATATCATGTAAATAATATCGCCACACATTTTAATATACAACGTGTGACCCTAAATATGTTGAAATTAACCGGAGAAGTGGCCCTTGAGACATATAATAGAACACCATTCCTTGGCTGCGGGCTTGAATGCGGGAGGGAAATTTCCTCCACCTTCGATTGCAGGGATTATTGTTGCCAAATATATTGGGTATCAAGGCAGCACTAGCAGTGTTCATTCCAATATTGCATAAATTTGCTGACAGACTTTTTCTACATTGTAATTGATGTTTTTGTTTTGTTTTTTTATTGATCAATCACAAAATTCCAATTGATTCTTCTGTTGAATTAAGGTTGGTAGGTGATTTGGATTAGGAGAAGGATTTAGCCCATATTTGAGTCATATTAAAATTTTCATTTTCATTCTTCTACTTATTTTCAACCATATTTTTCAATAAAATAATATTTTCCATCACATTAATAACATTTCCTTCTTTTCTAATCACACATTCTCCATCAATCTACTATTCCAAAATACATTCTTCCGAAATAATGTGCTTTAAACACAAATTTAAAAAAATAGCCAAGTCAGCATGACAACGACAAAGCAGAATTTCTGACCTCATAAAATTCAGTTGTGGTCTATTGGACATGGATAATTTAAAGAAATTTGTGGAAGACAATTCCATTTTTTGACATTACGATGTTCAAAGAAATTAGTATAGTTTTCGACCTTTTTTTTGGATAAAATTTATGTTATTCTTGTGGGCGGTGTTGATGGAAATAGCGGCGGTGCAGACGTTGGCTGACTCTCTTCGTCAGTTTTGAAGGGTGGGGTAGGCGTGTGGTTGAGGCGGGGAGGTGGGGGAATAACCCTTTTTTTTGTTTTTTTCAAATTTAATTATTACAACATTATTTTATGCAGGATAATATAAAAGTACCATTTTATGTTAGATATTTTTCATCATTTTGCATGTGTTATCTTTTGTTTTGTAAATGTTTTGCCGCCCCGACTAGTGTTTGCCGCTACGCAATGGGGATCGACCTACCCGGTCAGGTCGCGGTGGTCGAGGGGGCAGCGCCCCCCGTGGGGGCTCG